CAGAGAACAGGAGAAACACCTGCTGGTTCCATTGTCACCCTCAGCTTCACAGATTTCTTTCAAAGCACAGCTATCAAAATCCATACCCAAAACAGAAATAAAACACCACCAAAAAAAAAAATTCAAGGACATTTTAGAGTTAAATCTCTCAATACACAGTTTTATCTGTCGAGGTTTGCATAGCATTCTCAGATATTGTAACCCCACCTCAACTAGTCCTTCAGGGCAATTCATCTTTTAATTCTCTGTAAGGCTAACCCAAGCTTCTTCCCAGGAGCCTAAATTTATAACTCAGGTTTCAAAAACTTCATTCAAAGATAAAAGTGAAAAGTCCTTCTACAATCTGGCACACAAAGGACCATTACCTGTATTCATGCACCATCTCAGAAAATTATGCGCCTTCACAGGAGCGTCAACTTTCAAAGAAACTGAAGTCAAGTTGGAAAGTCATACCTCTAATGAAACCATTTGAATAACATCAGTAGGGCTCTATGTCACTTTCCATGCATATTTCGTTTTCTATTATAGAAGGCAGAGATCTGTCACTTCATTATCTTAAGGACAGCATAGGAATACAAGAGCAATTGATCAACCAGTCCTTTTTAGACTTTGTTTCATGACTGCTATTACATTGTCTTGACAATGTTTGTATTGCCTTTAGACATTTTACATTTGTTTGGTATGTGCTTTTTGTTTTAAAAGCAATTGCATGAGCATAAATACTCTGACAGCATTTCCTTTTTAAGGCCTGGTCTATGGGCTCCAATCTACACAGAGTGCTCCAGTTCCCAGGCTGCCAGAGAACATCACCCTGCAGCAGGACCACTGTCCTGCCACTGATTGCTTTGTGAGCTTAGTCCTGGCTACAATGTGGGCATCCTGCATCCATGTCATTCCTCTATTGAAGAATCTATCTGCATATAGATATTTGTGGGATCAAAATGAAGAAATATCACCTATGGCATATGCTTTTATAACCTGAAGATCAATTTAACATTTATGTGGTATTAGACCTGTGTGAAGGACTTTTTTGGGAAGGTATAAGGGCCCGAATCCAAGGCCTCATGCATGCTAGGCACAGGCAAACTACCTTATCCTAAGCACCATGTAACATTATTGAATATATTACTTTACTACTCTATAACTGAGAGGATAGAATTAAAGAATGACTACAGAACACAAATTTTATTCAGCTCATCTACAGCATGGTACCAATACCATGGAACAATAGCCAACATCGTAAGTTGTTCTATTTAGCAAATAATAACTATGGTGATCAGGTCATATAAAGTGCAAATAAAGATTGTCTTGTTGGAATAGAAAAAGAAATGGTAGTTCTGAAAGCTGAATGTCCAAAAAAATGTTGAATTTGCTTAATGATTTACATATTACAGCTAAAAATTGAAAGCTGTTATGAACAAAAGTTCCTGCAGGAAAAGAGACAGTACAAATCCTCTATCTTGTCTTTTACTTCTTACTAAAATGAGGATGCACGCACACGCGCGCACACACACACACTCACACACACACTCACACTCACTCACTCACATACCAGAACTTAAACTCAGGGCTTTGTGCTCCTTGTGCTCACTCAGCTTTCTTGCTTACGGATGGCACTCAACCATCTGAGTCAGACCTACAGTCTGGCATTTGCTGGAGATGGAGTCTGGAGGATTGTTCTGCTCATGTAGCTTTGAAGCATGACCTTCCGACCTCGGTCTCCTACATGGCTTAGGATTACAGGAGTGAGCCACTGTGACTCAACTGAGAAATAATATTTTTAATAGCTTAATATTTGTTGTGATATAACTGTCTGGTCATCATAGGACTTTGGATTTTTTTTGGAGTTTTTAAAAAAGGTACTTAACTTTTTCTTCTTTGGAAGTAGTGGAGTTTGAATTTAGGCCTCACGCTTGCCAGGCAGGCACTCTACTACTTGAACTACACTCCAGCCCTATTTGCTTTCATTATCTTTCAAGTACATTTATACCGAGGCTGGCCTGGGCCCCACACCTTATAATTGTATGTTGTCCTCCAAGCTGGGATGTCAGGTGTAAATCAAAATACCTGTCTTTTATTGGTGGTTGAGTGAAATGGCTCACTTGAACCTTTTGTCTGGACTGTCTATAAACCATGATCCTGTTGATCACTGCCTCCTTTAGCATTTCATGAGTGAGCTGCTGTGTCTGACCAGCTTTTAATGTTACAACGTTGTCTTCCTTTTGTTCTCCTGTGATGAAGTCTAAGTTTCATGCTCGTATGATCCTGCCTGGCTCCTAGCTGAACACTCAGAATCAAACAGGGGGCTTCTTTGTAGAAAAAAATAGGGAAATTGTACCACTAATTCTTCAGTGTTTAAATGGTTGGCAGCCCAAACTACACCTGAAGGACCAAAGTGTGAGCTAATGCTTTAAGGTGCTTACAATCACCTTATTAGTTATCTGGTTGCATTTACCCACAAGAGGGATGTTAGTTGTGTTCAGCTATAAATGCGCTCTGCTCTCATTTTCTTTATGGTGATTGTGTGTGATGGGCTATAATAGGTGCATAATATTGTCCTTTAGATTACAACTTAAAAAAAAATCCATCTCCTCTACTTAGGATGCACCTGAATGAACTCAACTTCCTTTGGATAAATCTTCCTTAAAATCCTTCAGTGCCTAACGAGGGACTGCAGAGTGCTCAGAGATCTTCAGGCAAGGCTTGCTGATGCTAATCTGGTTGTAGAGACAGGAGCCAGGCAAGACATTGCTGTTCTGCAATGGAAAGAGTACTGCCTACTGCCTTGTGGAAGACTCAAGGGTCATGATTACCGGAGATGGTCCAACTTCTAAGGAGAAACATAGCTTTCCTAGCAATCTCTGTTCCATCAAAGATAGTAAGCATCCTGTACAGTCAACACACCATCACTTCCTAGGGGTTTAATGTAAGCTATTATGTAATACAGTAACTCTTGAAATCCCTTTATGGTGTGTAAACTTGGTGTCTCTGTTTGTAATGAAGTTAGTCAAATAGCTTTTCCTTGACAAAAAGTGTCAATATAGTTCTCAAACAACTCTAAGGATCAATAATTCACTAAAAAAAAAAATCTCAGAACTGACCAGAAGCTATTAAATCACAGGTATGGCTTATCACAAGGAAAATGATAGAACCAGACAAAGGTGGAAATGCAGAGCAATCTGAAACAGAGGTAATCTGGATGTGTCCACTACCCCAGGACCACTGACCTGGTGTCAGAATATGATAACTCCCATCAAGTAATGTCAACCTGTGAGTAAGTGTGCAGAGTTCTATTGGGCCTCATTACATAATATGATTGGCTGCTTGCTCATATTCTATAATTCAGTCAACCCCATTCCACTACTATTGAATGGACTGAGAAGTCCACAAAGAATATTAAAGGCTTAGACGTTACCAGTGCCCTTGGAGCTAGTACAAAGCTGGCTTCTCTATGGTAAATCTACAAGCTTATGACAGTATAGACAGATGAATATAGGATCTTATAAAGAATAGTGTTTTAAACCAGGTACCAGTGTCTCACACTTAGAATCCTAGCTGCTCAGGAGGAGGAGATCTGGAGAATCCAGATTCAAAGCCAGACAGACAGAAAAGTCTGCAAGACTCTATTTCTAAAATAACCAGCAAAAGTCCAGTCTGAAGGTATGGCTCAAGGGGTAGAGCAATAGCTGAGCAAGGAAACTGAGCAAGTATGAGGCTCTGAGCTCAAACCCCAGTACTGGCAAACAAACAAACAAACAAACAGAGAAGGATGTGGACTGGGCGTGGTGATTGTGAAGTTCTGGTTCAAGGCCAGCCTAGAGTGAGAACTGTGCCCCCTCAATAAATAAATAAATTAACCAGGCAATGGTGGGTTCTCTCATTCCATCTTAATCTGTGAGTCATTTTTAGAGGTCTTTTTCTACTGCCCCCAGAAGAGATAAGTTACTAAGGAAGACTGGCCATTTTTATCAGTCTTAATACACCTAAAACTACCCTTTTTGTTTTTGTTTTTGTTTTTTTACAAATCTTAGTGAACATAATATCCATTACCACACAAACTGTACTGTAGCAGAAAATAGTATCTCTATGTTAAGGTTTAATCATTTTTTTAAAAAAACAATTTTTTTATTGAGATTAAGTGATTACATTAATTTCACAGTATTGTGGGATAGTGATACTTTGTTAAAGTCACAAACACATTTTTAACCTTCACAAGGCAAATTGTCATTTTATCAAACACTTACAAACATGCACAATACAGGTCAGAGCCCAATGCAGTCCTTTAACTAAACCTGTCACAACACCCTTTTTTGCTTCATTAATGTGCACATGTGTTTCTCACAGGGTGATACAATGGGATCATTTATACACTTAGGAAAAAGGCTTAATGATGTCTTCTTACTGACAGGAGAGTTGGCAACAGGGAGAATGTACAAGGCTACGGGTCATGGACACTCTGATCCATCAATTACAGAACATTCACTTGAGCATCCCAAGGATTAACAGAGGCAGAATTTAACATCACCTCCATAATCAAGGGCAAGGTAAAGTCTACGGTTTAAATGCTTTCAGGGTTCTTGTTAAAGAAAATAAAGATAGTTTAAACATGAGAAAGGTAGGTAGCCACACTTGGACATGTCCATTATTTCACTTTACTGAAGTAAATGTTTTCTGTAATTCTATTAATAGAGGTGGCAATTGAACATCACCTTCATAATGAAGGGCTTTCTGTCTTATATACTATTCCAAATGAAAATTCTATTATGTCGCTTCTACTTTCCTTTGTTCATAAAATGCATGAAGTTTCAATAAGCTTTCATCAATTATCCTATATCCTATTGTTGGTACAGCACAGAATATGGCCCTATTTCACTACCCCCAAAACACTTCCACGTACTCTACAGTCTCCATAACGAACTCTTCGCTATTCAGAAAGCTATAAAATTGTGTTTTGTCTTGTTAAGAAGAGCAAATAATCACAGTAATGTTAAAAAACTTACTTGAACTTGGCTTCTACTTCTTCAGCAGCTTTCTGATATTGCTCGGTGGTAACTTTGTAGAACTCTGAGCTCTGTGAATAAAAAAAGCATTTCACTATCTAAGAAGACAAAATGTGTGGAAGATCTACGATTTTCAAAAAATATATACAACCTTGTTTCAGCCACTGAAATAGTGTAGAGGATCTCTTATCTAAGTGGCACATGTAGATTGTATTTACAGAATAAATGTTCATAGTTGCAACTCAACGATATTTGACCCTCTCTTGAGAAAATTCTTAGCTTTGAAAGATTACTTGGCTCTACCATTGCCAGGTCAAATGCTGTTTGATCACACATTTACATTTGCTTATTAGTCTATTAATGTTCTAATTCAGATGTTTATGCATTATTTCTTTCACATAATATTTTGTCTTCAAGCTGGATTCTTTGTGGAATGGAAACTAAAACAGTATCAGCATCTGTAATAATAACTTATTCAATAGAAGTGAAGGGTAGCCTTAGGTACTCCACTACCGAATCTACACCAAAATGACAAGTCGCAATGGGAAGTGATGCCTTTTCTAGGGCAGGAGAATTTAGAATTATCCATTGTGTCTGGCTGTTTAGAAACCACTCCTCCGGTAGGACTAGATGAGCTCTCTCAGACTCAGTGAACTTCCCTGCAAAATATACAGCAATACATAAGAACTCAACCCTGTGATACATAGGTCTAACCCTCGCCCCCTCACTCAGGCTTCACCCGTGGGCAGGACTACAGTGGTTTATTTTGTAATAAATCATTGGCAGTTGGGGAGAAAATGAAAATGAAACCCTCTTCACACCAGCGACCCCTCTGCATTTCACAATCTGGGTTGCCCAATGACAGTCACATCCAGGTTTCTGGGATGTAGATAAAATCAATAGGTATGTGATTAGCCATCAGGCTCAGGGTGGCTGCAGCCACCGACAGGTCACCATTTGAGATGATGAATGGCTTTCTATCAACCTATAGTCCCCTACGATGCTAACACTTACTATAATCTTATTTGGGCTACGATTTATCTTTCTTGCACCTGATCAATAAAGATGAACAGAACAGTTGTAAGGATCGATTGTAATTTTTTATCATTTTCAAGCACAAAGGTGCATTTCTGACACGAAGACAATATTCTAAGTGGACTGCTTCTGCATTTTTTAAAAATTGCAATTTGAGTGATCAACTGCACTAGTCTATATGTGAAGAGGTTTTAATCCATCTGTGGGTCTAAAGCTACCCAAAAGCCATTTATCTTCCCAGATACTGTAACTTTAAGTTATATCATACCTTCCTCTTACACTTGCAAGATTTTCTCTCCTTTACAATATATACTGGTCATGTTGATTTTCTTTCCCAATGTTTGGCTTAAGCTTTTCTTTTAACATTTTTAACCAGGAGGTTAACAGCAGAGGTAGTTACTAACATATCACTAACAACAAAGAGAAACTCCCAGATTGCTGTGACTGGCTGTCAATAGGCATTCTGCTATTGAATTATCTATTAACATGTGGACAAAACAGTATCATCTGGATTACTACCTCCGCTTATTTTTAGCAGTGATGTTGTGGCACATGGACAGGACTGGGTTGAAAGACTGAGTTTCTGGTTCTGTTCTGTGACCCTGATTCACTCTTACCTCCTCCCCCCAGCTTCCATCTCAGTGTTTGTAGCCCCTAAAATGGGGATGGTGATCTGGCACAGCTACTGTCCACACACACTGCTACAGAAGCTAAAGAAGTCATTTAGGAGATCTGTGAAATCTAGGTGTTTTTGCAAAGTAAGACCAACATCAAAGTAAAGTAACTTCAGAGGAAAATAGCTAATTTTGGTAATTCCACTAAGAATGCTAAGTGGTCAAATTCTAAATGATCTAAAATAAATATGGTGCTTTCTCACAACAATGACCTACAGAAGCAAGAGTTCTTATGGTATCAGTCATTCACACTCCCTCCCCCTCTCCCTTCCCCCCAGCTCAAGCCCCATAATGTCAAATGCAGGCTGATGGTGTCACGATTTCCCACAGGAGGTTAAACACAAGAACCAGAACATGTTTTGCCTGAAAACTCAGCATGTAAAGCTTAGGCCTCACATGTTCACATCAGTGACAGTGTTTCATACTGTAGAAATCTCTCTCACAATAATGAAAATCACCAGGAAACAATATTATATAAATAGCAAGGAGATAAACAGAAATATATGAAAAACATGTAGGTAGTGTTTAATTAAAGTCTCTTTATTCATTCAACATCAGATCCTAATTATCAAAATAGTACATGTCTTCTCAAAAAGTTTTCCATCTAACACAATAGGAAATTATAATAATCATAATGGAAGCCCACAAAGGTTACCTAAATTTGGAAAGATAAGATGTCTCCATTGGTTCCAAAATCCTCTAAAGAATACACACTACTCATTCAAAATCAAAACTAGAACATATCAATATATATTTGCCATCTAGAGGATGAATAAATGTTGAGGGCTTATACAGTAGAGGGAAGAATGAAATAGGCATATTGTAATTTATAGACAAATAGAAAAAAATGCCAAGTTGAAGATACGTGGCAGGCTGCAATTTATACCAACTTTGAAACAGTGCAAATTAGTAATACTGAGTGACATATTCCACTGATGATCTCCAAGGGACAGCAGTTAGGTGGTGGCAGAAGGGATAAGAAGGGGAAAGGGGATAAGAGTTACGGGTAAGAAGGGCCACGAAGGGAGCATGGGATTCACTCATCCTTAAAATGAGGTATGGGGATGCACCCAGCGGTTACGCTGGCTTCAAATATTTCATAATGATGTAAAGACTGTATTCCCCCTTACCCACAAGGGGGCTAATTAACAACAAATGAAATTTTGTTTGGCTAGAACAGTGTATCGGGGGAAGCAGGATATATACAGAAGAGGTTGGCCTGAGTAGAGACTTTATATTTTTCTTGCATACTATGCCCCTACACATACATATTACACAAATGTACTTTTTTCACCTTTTTGATTGTAATTTTAGACTCACAAAAAAGAGGTTAAAAAAAAAGAGCTTCTCACAGATCACTTAACTGTCTCATCTCAACATCATACCCAAAGCACAGGTATCTAGAGTACAACCAAACAAGGGTACAGTACCAGACCCTAGTAGCTGCAGTCATGGGTACTAAGTAAACTACAGGACATTTTTTCCCCACTAAGGTTCTTTTTCTCCTTTAGGATTTAACCCTGGACCCCATAAAGCAATCAGTGGCTGTGGCTCCTTAGTCTCCTCTAACCTGTGACTGTTTCGCAGCCTTTACCAGTCTTTTCCCCCACCCCCGTCATGCCCTTAATTTTTGTGCCAGCATCAGGTTGAACTCAGGACTTGGGCTTCATCCCTGAGACTCTTTTGTTCAGGGTTAGCACTATACCACTTGAGCCACAGCTCCACTTCTGGCTTTTTGGTAGTTTATTAAAGATGAGCGTCTCATGGACTTTCTTGCTTGAGCTGGCTTTGAACTGCAATCCTCAGATCCCAGTCTCCAAAGTAACTGGGATTACAGGCATGAGCTTCTGCTGCCTTGTCTTCCTAAGTCTTTTATGACTTTCATAGCCCTGAAAGACACTGGTCAGAAACTTTTGGCAAGCCTTGTAATGAGGGACTGTGAAGTTTTTCGTGATGAATTGGGTTCCTTCACCATTAGCAAGAATTCCACATAAGCAAGGAGCCCTTCTCAGAGCAGGCCTCCAGGGCTACCTTATGCAGCTAGAACTTTCTAGATGTTGACTTTGATCACTTCTGCATAGTTTCTGCACATCAAAGTCACTGTTTTTCCTCCAGTAATTAATCTCTTGCAGGAGATACTTGGACACTGCATCTATCCTATTTCTCCACAAAGGCTTGTCCCTCCCTTTGGTGTGTCCTTTGGTGAGTCTCTTCTGCCGCAATGATTAACTGGCGCTCTGGCGATGCACTTAGTTTTAAATGGCATTATTGCACACTTAGACCTTATTGATATAATGACAATCTTCATTTCCTTTTACTCAATAATGAAAACTACAGAGGAGCACAGGAAAAGCCTTTTAAAACAAAGGCCTTCAAAGACTGGGTAGCTGTTCACAGTATGGAATGGTAGGTAAACAAGAGGGGAAGTAAGGAACTCTAGAAGGATGTATCTGAGCTTTGGAAACCAATCCCTTCCTTCTATTCTGCTGCAATATCTGGACTTTCTAGCTTCCCTGAGTGACCCTCTGCACTACTGCTTGTCTGAAGCCCACCCATATTACTGTAAGGACCTGTCCATCAAGAGGAGGATGAGAAGACTGATTGGCTTTGGCAAGGAGAGAAAGTGGGGAGGGGGGGGTGATTTGTGATGCTCCCCAGGGGCTGCTAGAGCTCCAGATTCAGCTGTTTAGGAGCTGAGGAGAGAGCTTCAACTCACTTGACTGTCTTGTGAAGCCCTGGACAAAGGCCAATTCTAGGGTTACTTGTGCAGTCATTTGTAGAGTCCTGAATGGAACCAGGAAGCTGCATTTCTAACAGGGATCTCAGGTGATTCTGAACCCACATTGAGGCTGAAAAGCTACTGCTTCCTAGAACAATACACAAATAATCCACTATTTAGCTTGCCATTCAACGTGAAAAACCATCAGTGTCTTTGAAGAACAATGGCAAATACCACTTTTCATAATTAAATGTAGCTATAATCTTACAGAAGTGTTCCAAATTAGCGATGCTGCCAATATTGTCTACAAATCACAGGTGAAACCCTAACTCCCCCAAGAATCTGGCTTCCCATGTTGCCAAGCAACACAGCACTGTGCCTCCCCCAATAGAAAATAAGTCTAAAGTACAGTAATTTAGAAAGGCTGCTTTCATTATGTGTGTTAGCCTGAGATAGTACTTGGTTGTACATGCTGCTGTCTTATTTATTAACCATAGATGAATGTTACTTTAACATCATCATTGCAATGAAGTCTGTCATTTGATGAACCCTATAATTTGTAATGGACATACTTTCATCGACTGTTTCTAATCACAATAACTAAATTTGGATAAATAAGTAATATCTCCTCTCTTATTTCTTA